GGTTCCGAGTTGCATATAACAAACACAGAAGGGAAACACCTGTGGCTATTTATGAATTAAAACATCACTTTTTCCCCTTTATTGTCAGTAACCTGGTAGTTTCTGATTCACAAGTAAACTTGGAAAAGAATACCTGTAACTATTTGTCAGTTACTACTTTTTCACCTTGATTTTTAGTCTGTTATTTGTTGTAGTTTAATGGCATAACTATAAAATAGCATAATATAAGAATATCCTGTCATAAAATATTATTCACTTATAATCTGTTACACTTTAGTGTGTATTTGTTATGAATTTCATGCAAGAGGGCTTTCTGCGCTAGCCGTCCCTAACTTAGCAGAGAAAGACAGCTAGTCATCACCATCAACAGCCAACTCTTTTACGAATGGATAGTGGGATTGACTGTCACATTATAATGCCCCCACAGCTGAAAGGGTGAGCATGTTTGGTGGGACGAGGATTCAAACCCGCAGATTGCTGGTTAAGTGCTCTAACTACCTGGCCATGCCAGGCCTTACACTTTAGTGATAAACTTACAAGACTGAATAATTAATAATATGAAAGTCAATCAGAAAATACTAATAGCTAGTGTTTAAAATACAGAAACTTCTCCTGATCTGAAAGATTTATACAGTCTTGCCTTGGAACCTGTTTAGAAAACGGTCCTTTGTAAATGTTGCCTTCATTGCTGGATTCTAAAATGTTATACTAATTTGGTTATGAGGTAATATCAAATTCTAAGAAATTAAATATACATAAAACAACATAATGCCTTCTATACAGTCAGAAAAAAAAATCTTATGTTATTATTGAAGAACTTGTATATTTTATAATTATTTGAGCATAAGATCTCATTACTCTGAAAATAAAATTAATGAAAAAAAAAAGGAGGAGAAAGGAAAGACTTTGCCAATTTATTGGATGCTGTTGAAAAAATGTGAAACAAAAATTTGTTTACACCAGAAATTTTCTACAAATACCACTTTCATAAAACCTGCACCTGTATGTGTGGTTTTATTTCTTTCTTTTTAAATTAACAGTAATAAATATTTATATATTGTTTCATTTTTATTAATCACTTCTCTGAGCAAAATATATTTGATTAATTGGCTTACCCTAACAAAACCTAGCAAGTTGTCATGTTCAAAGAACAGAAGTGATCACAAACTTCATGACAGAAATAAAAAACAACAATCTATCCCTTTGAGCAAGATGGTGACTGAAACTGATGCAATTTGGCAGTAGATTATTTTATTTGCAGTTGACCTTATCGTCAACAAATACAACAGTGTTAAAGATATTGAATGATGTTGAATATAAACTGATTATTCTAACCTACAAAATATGTAAAACCCATGATCGTGTCAGTTTTGGATTGTTTCAATTTTATTATAATGAACCCTTTAGCATAAATAAAGATTAAGATTTATAATAACTCAGTTCTTGATGAAAAAAGAAAGTAGTAAGACTACTTGGATGCTTGCCTTTTGGGGAAAACTTTTGACAAAATGAAACACTATAATTCTTTGGACAATCTGAGCTTAATAAAGGATTACAGCATATTCCTACAGGAATACCTCGTCCATCTTCACATGTAATTTTACCTTCACATGGATTCTTACCTAGAAGGATGATAATAATAATATTTTTTAAAATATATACATGATACAAGTAGATTATTATATATATATTAATTAACTTTAATTTTAGTTTGATATTGTTTTTATTGGATTATTATTTATTTTTTTATTCCTAATGTTTTCATAGAAACCTATTCATTGTTAATGATTGTGGAATGGCTAATTGCTGACATCTTTTTGAAAGTATGTGCTTAAAAATGTATTCAAAAGTCAGGCTCTCATTATGAATAAAAAAAAACATGTTTCCTTTACAGTTTTTCAATGCAATTGGAAGCCCATAAAACTATACAACTACTTTAGTTTTACAAAACAAGTTGAGCTAGATGAGAACTTCATTTGATGTACTAATCATTATTTAATTTCCAATCTCTATAGATATATAGTTTAATAAGAGGGGGGGAAGGAAATATTAGAAATATATTGTATATATATATATATTTATTAACTATTTAGCAGCAAACACAAATCTGGCATATGTGGTCGAGTTGAAAAGATAAATAAGTATGATCTTTAATAATTTGTACAAGTATTTATGATTATAAGTATGTTCACTTTTGTAAACTAAGATTTTAAGATTGTGTGTGTGTGTGTGTGTATGCTTTCTGCATTTAGATAAACAATGTGATAATATAAAAAAGGAAGAAAAATTCAAAAAGTTATTTTGATTACCATTAAGCCCACAAAAAAGTGATTGCTGATAAGCAGTAATTCCCAGATTAGTAGTCAAATCATTCATGACTAAGTTTTCTTTTTCCCTTGTACTAAGTTTCATGAAATTTAGATAAGTATTTCTACTGTGAAAAGACAAATTTCGAGATATATTGGTAATGGTCCAATGGCCTAAAAAGGGTTAAACAAAATTATAACTTTCTCCAAAGGCACAGCAACAATAAAGATGCATATATATATATATTTTTTAATATTTAAAATTTTTAACAAATCTGAGATATTGCAGGCCTGAAAATAATTTTAAATTGTATGTCAAAGCAAGTCCTTCAACATTATTTTTTTTACTGCTTAAAATGCATATCTGAAGTACCTGTTTGGCATGATTTGATTTAAAACACAATTTCTTGATTGATAAAACAAATAGTTGGCTGACACATTTTTATGATTTCGTTAAGATGAAGAAGTGTTTGTATTATTATAAAAAACATTAAACTCTTATTTGAAATATCTGAAAACTTGCTATCTCATTTACACTCATATTTTTCACAACTTAAAAGTAATATAATTAGTTTTAGACTACCTCTTAATAACGAGCTTTTACAAAAGGACAGATGTAACTACAGTGTCGTGTCACAATGTTTTGCTAAATTAGAAAGAAAGGTTCCTGTTTGAAATTGCTTTACTCATTTTAAACGCCCTTAAAAATGCTGTTTTGTCTTAAAGCACTTCACAGAACTTGATTTAATATTTATGTCATTCTACAAATAATGACATTTTGTTGTAAGACACTATTTTCAATAAGCTTTTCTCATCTTAGAATTTAAGTTTTGTTATTGTTAAAAAGAAAGTTCCATTACACACACATAAACAATTTCAACTTGACTGATATTATTTTGTCATTACTTCCACTTACAAACTGTAAAACACACAACAAGAACTGACAATGATTTACTGGTGACCTAGAATTGGACCTTACAAAAATGTGTTTCTGTCAAGCTTGATTTCATTAGCAATATTCTTAAGATAAATTTATATTTAATAAATAATTAAGATATTTTATTTGAGTGTATTGCTTGGATAGATAAGTCTTAAAATAATATTTCAATAAATAAGGATTTGAGTCAGGAATATTTTGTAGTGATCTGCCATGTCACAGTGACCTGTGGAAGTAGAACTCTTAAAGGCTAACGTTTATTAGTTTCAGTAAAGGTTCTATATTTAATTTTGTTTAATCAGAGGAGTCTGTTAAACTTTCCAAATAGTATGTGTAGAAAAGTCAACAAATTTTGAAGTGGTAAGCTATACGGCAGCACTACTCTAATCAAATAGTGAATAACACATTAATAAAAGAAAGTAGGTAACGAATTGAAAGAAAAACTGTATGCCAGTTGCTTTCAACAAGAGATCATCCCTAGACAACACAGGACTAGTTAAAAAAATTAATTACTAAGGCCAAAACTATCAGTAATAGTTATTTAACTTTGCAGGCTTTATAAAAAGACCCAATGACTTTAAAAATTTTAATAAACATTACTGTGCAAATACTTACAAGTAATATGTGTGTGAATGACACTGATCATCAACTAAACTCTACACATGTCTCATAAACCTCTAATTATGCTTTCAGTTTTTTGTAAGTTGCTTCATTAATAGTACTGAGCTCAATAATTTCCTTGAGGAGTGAACAGCCTGGTATATATTTATTTCGAATCACAATACTCCCTATAATGTTTAAATATCTTTTGCAATCTTTAGTAAATGGAAAACAGTTGTGTCAAAAACAAGCCCATTAAGTTAGTTAATAAAGTGTGGACCACTTAATCTTGTTCTATGGACATACTGAATGAACGTGTAAGTGTTTTAATAGCAACCAAATTATCAAGCTGTAATAGCGAAATAAAATTATATTCTGGAGATAAAGGTCGGAGTTTATTTGCATTAACAAATATGTCTAGTAAAATACTCCAGTTTGTGTTAAAAAACCTTAAGAATAATAAACGATAGTGTTGTAAGAGTTCTACTTCCACACACACACAGAAAGTTGTATGACTGACTTAACTCTATAATTTCTTTTAGTTTATTAAATAAAAAGG